CATGGAATCCGGCCGTAAGCCTGAGGATTGGAAAGGAAAGTTGAAAAAAGAGAAATGAATAATCAGAGGAAGCCTGATCAGAAATCGAGGAGCTTCTGGGAATCCCACTTACTTTTTTGGGATCTATGATACACTTCGCAGTATATCCAATGGATGTAGGTGCTGAACTGTTGTGATAGACGAGCGTTGGTAGATGATCTTTGAGCGTTTTCTTCTCCCTGAAACTCTGAACAAGATGTGTAATCATTTTGAGAGTAGGATCTTTCAAAGGCACGATTCATGCAAATAGTACGGGTAGGGGCAAACAGCAGTAGAACCTGACTTGCCAACAGTTGATCCAAGCTTGCATTTGCCTACTATTTCCTTTTGAAAAGTCAATGATATGCTCGCCGCCAAAACGTCAGCCTCCTTTTAGAGACAAGGGCTCCTTATGCTGCTTTGCGGCCTGTGCGCGATTCTCAGAAGAAATCAAGAGTCTAATCAGTACGTTGCAATCACGTTTTGAATGAGCCTTCAAGTTATGTTGCACTGATGTACTGAGCGCTCGATGCTTAATGTCAGAATCGAAGAAGAGACCACTGATCCAAATCATAGCCGTGAGTACTGTTAACATAACTTTTGATGTGTAGGGGCAAAACCCGACTTACTCAAGAGAAAATGAGCAGCGTTTGTGCTTTCCAGGCGAGATCAAGTTTGGCAAAAGATGATATGGCACTATGAAATTCCTTACATAGTATGATTATGGTACATATGATGGATGAGCACGGCGCTGGCTACCTTGCTTTCTTGAACTTTGTGCGTGGTCCTGTTGCGAAATCAAGTAGCGTACACAGACAGAGGACAGCGAATTCCAAAGCATCGAAGCGGCAAGAAACATGTAGCAAGCAGGAAACAAGCTCTTTTAGATGGAGGGACTCCGAGGTGGGTGAACCACTTGATAATCCGCGAAAAGCTGGAATGTGCGAAGTCACAACAACCACAGAGTGCCATGCGGACGAGAGAATGCAGAGAAAAACACGTGATAGAATCGCTACATCAGTTCCGCGTGTTGCACGGGGTGATGGGGGTAATAGCAAAACCGCTGAAGTCGTTTACCCATTGTGCTCTTCCATACAATCTCTCAGTGCATTTTCTGCTTCAATAAAGGAAAACAGAGGAGATGGAATTCTGTTTTCTTCTTACTTGCTTGATTTTTTTTGTTTACTGCTGCTGTTAGTTTGTGCTCGAACATTGAGCTGATGATTTGATTTATACAAGCGGTATTAACAGAAAGAGGCCACCCTCACCTTATAGATGACGTGTCCTATTGAACGCCTCCATTAAGAGCGCTGTGGCAAGACTGTCATGTTATAGTTGCTATTTGTCCCCTGAAACCTCAAAGGCACATTTCGCCATCACTCACAGGATCTGAATCACTGCGTAGGAAACAGAAGTGTGGGCCGAAAGGGGAATTGTACCGGTTCCGCACTAGAAAGCCGTTAGGTAGAGGACCTGTTGCATAGAGGAATTGGCACTAAATCCTCAACAAGGGAATGGTTTGAACTTCCCATGGAACTAATGGAGACCTAGGTACATCGATAGAGTCTCGAATGCTGATTACGAATATGCAGATTAAAAGTGCTACGGGGACCTCCCAGGAGCTTTGAGCGGTCATATGCATGCATGAACGTGCAAAATGCAAAATTATATGCAAAACTGAGTTTTGCCTCTTAAGCGGTGCTGATCGATCGGCAGTGCCACCTTGGCCTAGTGGTAGCGGTCTCGCTTCAAAGTCGAATGCTCGTGAGTTTGCATAACCTTGGCGCAAAAATTTTTGGTCCGTCTCTGGTAAGAGCTTTTGCTACAAGTTCCCGGGTTCACTGCCTAGCAGAGCAGGTAGATCAAGTAGATCAAGTATATGACGTAGTCGATCGAGTATGGATTCGATCACTATCTGCCCTCTCTGAACTCATTACCCATCCGACAATTCGAGTTTTGGCCAGAATCACAATTTGGCCAGATCAGTTGATGACCACAAAAACGTGAAAGGTTACAAGCGTTTTCTCGTCAAACGGATGTGATAGTCGTGTTCAGGGGGGGGGGTCAGAATGATCCCCAGGAACGAGTTTCTCGCCAAAACTTTGAATTGTCGGATGGGTAATGAGTTCAGAGAGGACAGATAGTGACCAAATCCATACTCGATCGAGTAAGTGACCAAATCCATACTCGATCGAGTACGTCATATACCTGATCTACTTGATCTACTTGCTCTGCTGGGCCGTAAACTCGGAAGAATTTCGAAAATTAGAGTAAAAGCTCTTATAGGAGACGAAGCAAAAACTTTCGCGCCAACGGGATGCAAACCCACAAGCATTTGACTTCGAAGCGAGACCGTTACCACTAGGCCACGGTGGCACTGCCAGCGATCGATCAGCAGCTCTTACGAGCCAAAACTGAGTTTTCGCAAAATTTGACCGCCCAGAACTTCTTTGGAAGGTTTGGAAGGTCCCCGTAGCACTTTTAATCTGCATATTCGTAATCAGCATTCGAGGCTCTATCGATGTACCTAGGTCTCCATTCAAAGTTCCATGGGAAGTTCAAACCATTCCCTTGTAAGAGGAGTATCGTTAATACACCAGAATTGCGCGCCCCTGAGCAGCCTTTTCAAGGGATGTACCATTATAAGGCCTATCAAGCTGCAACATGCCGACTCGGACGCCTACCACGCCCGCACGCATACAATTAAGACCCTACTGATGCTTGTATCGCTTCATTTGCGAGGTACAATGTGAAGCGAAGGGATTGATATGGCGCGGCAGCGGTGCTGCACGGCTATATGAGCACATGCGTGCAGCCGTATCTACCGCAGCGGTCATTGGCCGATTGGCCTACGGGAAACTCTGTTTTCTGACTCATTACAGACTAATGCTTTTCTTCGCAGTTTTGTGACCGTTCCACTTCGTTTTTTCGCATTTTCCCCACTATATAGCACTCAGTTAGCATTTTAGACAGATTATCAAATTATCATGCCACATTTGAGGGGCTCCATATGAGCGTAATTCACACCACCCTTTGTTAGTAGCTGCTGCTTGTGTGCTCTGTGCTCTGCACTGGCTTGTGTGCTCTCCTTCTCTTCCGCCTTTCTTAAAGAAACGCCTAAAAAATCAGCTGCGAATAGGGGTTGTCGACGAATTTTCGGCTTCTCCAGAGGCGAGTCAGCTAGCATATTCTTTTCAATTCACTCTGCACTTAAAAGGTGCAATCGCTCGCCTAAAGAAAATGTATCTTTAGTAGAGGTGTCGCCATACCAGAAGCGCAGGTCTCATCACCAAGTGTATGAAAGCTGAAGAGGAATACTGACACAGTGGCCCAACCTCGTATACAACGGGATCTGTGCCGTTCTTCAGCACATACTGCGTCACAAATCGAATCATTCCGATGTTCGGCTTCTCCGTCATGATTTTCCTGCAAAGGGCATTTTGAAAGAATCCGACATGCGAAAGTAAATTCACTATCAATCAATCCGCAAGTGATACAAGTCAAGCGGTCCATATAAAACGGGAACTGAACATTTCTCTAAAAAAACCATCACTAATGCTTTTTTCTAGATTAGACGTGGGGATTGTCATAACATTCGGAAACGTTTTAGATCACATCACCTACAGGTGACAGAGGTGACCCTTTTCTATTCTTTCCTTTCCTGCTGGTGCTCGTAGTTTCAATGGGTGATACTTTATTAGAAGGAATTATCATCATTATTGGCAACTCAACTAACGTTGTATAGGCAGATAGGGTTGTGTTCGTGTCCGTGGGCAAAATACGCTCATCTAAATCGGCATAGATCGTGTAATTGGAATGATGTCGGCTTCGATGGATACAATCCTATAAAGAAAAAGATTGTTGGTTTTTGAAAAGGTAACGTTTAACGCTAGAGCACCTCTAATCCTGAAGCTTCAGCATTACCTCATAGATTGTCTACAAAAATTCAACGAGTGGCTATAGGGATAGCTGTTCAACCCAGGGCACAGCGTTCGATGGGGATTCCCTATGGGGGGGGGTCGTCGTATTTGGCAGCCAAAGGGGGGGGGTCGTATTCGGGCTGGGAAAAATTTGTTCTTATACTTGAT